ATATATATATATATATATATATGTTTGTATAAGTGTTTGCATCCTCTTGTTACTTTTCTTTTTCAGTAAGAGGGGCTTGTGCTTGCGTATCACGCTATCTGCGCCAAGCACTTCCAAAATTTTGCAACTCCCGCTGAGCTGATGGTTTGCTATGCAGATCCTCATAAATACACATATATGTGTGTATAGATGTGCACATGCGTTTCTATCCCCCTGTTCGATTGTATGCAGAACAAGATGTGCTCTCCCCCTATGCGGCGTGCGCTCAGTTATCATATATAAACATGTATGTGTATATAGGTGTGTACATCTGTTTCTACCCCCTGTTCAATCGTATGCATACACAGATGTGTTCTCCCCCTCTGCGGCGTGCGCTCAGTCTTGGTACAGGAGCAGCCTGTACTGTGGAACTGCAGCCGAAGTAGGCATTCCAGGGATAGAGAAGCTTTAATATTTCCTCCTATCTCCTTGGCATTGAACTAACAAAAGATTGATGAAGTTTTCTAGAGTATTTTGACGCAGTGCCTCAGAGCTGCAGGGCAACATATTAAGTACCTCATTACCCCAAAACCGTATTTTCCGCCTTTGATTTTAAACATAAATTATAAAAGTTGAGTCGCACCTCTGTGCTTGGCATGCCTTGCCTCTGAGGCAAAGGTGAGATACCAACGCGTTTAAAGGTTAGAAGAACCAAAGCGAAAGACCCCATATATGTGCATCCATGAATTAACAGAAGCTTAAACTGGACTTCCCCATGTTCCTTAAGCTGAATTGGGCACTGCCTCTATTCGCCTGCGATAGGTGGTAGCGTTGGAACTACACGCCAACTACCTCTGAAAATTGACTCAAACTGCAACTCGTGAAATGGAAGCCTTCGTTCAGAGGTGAATCGAATACATTAGTGGGTGCTACTCCCGTGGAATGCAAATTGTGCGTAAGCGGCAAGAAACAACTTCGGCCTGAATCCTGTCCATTCAGGAAGTCCATTAAAAACTTGAAACGTTGCTGTTTCCATGCCCAACATATCAACTGAACTGTTAGGGCAAAGCGATTTCGGTTCCAGAGGAGCGCTTGCGTGCAAGGAGTTCACCCCGCAGGTTTCCCCCATTCATGAGGGCTCAACGCCAAGCGTTCTACTGCAGTCCCAATATGTGCGGTTCGTCCACACACCACCAATGCAGAGTCGGACTCAGGCTTTCACAACTGATACTCCAGAACCATAGACAAAGGCAACCGAGCCTGAACAACTCGGGACTCTCTCACTGGGCCAGCAATCTTTGCTCCGACCCACACAACAAAGGAATGCGTCGAGAGAACGAAGAGCGGAAATCGACGTGCGACAAGCCCCACTTCTGCACACCTAACCCTCCTTATGCAGGCAGCTAGCTAAAAAATCCGTCGCTCGTTGGTTTATAGCTGTGCCACAGGGCGCGCCGCTTTCATCATCTGCTTTTTGTACAGCCATTCGTGCCCAGCGAAGCAAACACCTCCCCAACTCAACTCATCCCTAATCTGTCCTGCGCCCCTTAGATTTCGAGAGCTTTTTGTTCCGCTCCTTTTTCTCCCTCTTGCGTACCTTCTCCCTCGACTCTCCGTCATCGGCTGTAACCCGAGAGAAGAGACGCTTGAACCAAGTAATAACCTTCACGAGCAAGTTAACAACAGATCCCAGGTACAACAGGTGCGGAATTGTGAAAAGGAACATTAGCAGCATATTGGTTCTGTCAGGGGTGCCTTCCAGCGCCTGTGAGATATGTAAACATATGTTGAGAACAAAGACCCAAAGGACGGCGCGCAGCATGCTTTTCCTCGCTGATCGTTCTCGCGACGCGGGAGAAACGCTCTCCTCTGTAGTGTTATTCTCATTCTCAGCAGTCCGATGACTTGCTGCGTCCGGCGTGGCTATCACAGGCACAGGGTGGAATCCTATAGGTACGGGATACTGAGCAGGAGGGGCTGGGTAAGGAGGATAATCCCCTCGACCCGGAGTGAAAGCAGTCTGCTGATACCCCCAAGTCCCAGGAGGTGCGGGGTAGGGAACTCCAGCAACAGGCGCCGCAGGGAATTCACCTGGTGCCTGACCCATCCAATGAGGTGGTGGAACAGCGGTAGGTGCTGCTAGTGTTGCGGCGTCGCCCATCTGGGGCTGGGATTGTGCTAAATCTGAGCCGAGGCAGGACTCATAATGCCAGGAAGCAGCTGCCACAAATAGACTCAGGTGGAGCTTCATCATGACGAAAACGCAAGACAGTGGAGCAGCACGCGAACTGGGAGACTACGGCGTCCCGCCGGGCCAGCCCTCCAGAACGCCGCAAGCCACAGTAACAAGAGCAAGTGCTAAAACAATATGCAAAGCTACCTAGAGGAAAACCAAACGCACTCTTCGAAAGCAAGGGCCAATGGTCGAAGGGTAATGCGTCCTGCAAGCGCCGTAGTTCAGATAGCCTTGCAGGAGCTCCCTAACGGAAAAACAGAAGAAGAGGAGACGAATGAAGAATGTAAAGCCTTGCACTTCAACCGGGCAAAAAAAAGATAATAAAAAATATGGACCATTACAGCATGCGCAGTAGTAGGAAGCCGATGTCGCCCAGGTGAGCGTTGCTCGCTTTACCCCGATTGCAACCAGTGTAGGTCAAGCACTGCAAATGCCCAGGGCTAAATACGCATTAAATCAACTTATCTTTCTCGTACAAAGGGTGGGATTGACTAGGAATCCACTCTGGCACAGACCAGTAGCGGCTTGCAGGCTCTGTGGCTTGCCGACTATAGGCGATGCTGCAGGGAGCTCCGGCTACTGGAGCGGTGGGGTGGGCATCGCGGTATGCAACAGCAGGCTATCGGATCACCAATACATGAACAAATAAATTAAATCAAAGCGACGCAGCATATTTTATTATCCCCTTGTACCAAGGTGCCGGATGGCCTGTAATGCAAGATGAAGCACGTTCTATGGTACGTCGGTACGTGAATTTTTGCTTCGCCTCCGTAGGCAGCATGCAAGCGAGCGATGAAAAGCAATTGTTTACAGTGCTAGTACACATAGAGGAATATGGGTTCTTTGTGCATGCATGCGGAGGAGACTTGCACGTGCCCTGCAACTCATCTCAGACTGTCGTCTACCGCGCGACGCGACGTCATTTGCGTGCTCTCTCCAGAACGTCTGGGTAGAGAGGAGGGTTGTGGCTTTATGGGCTTTGTGTGAACTCTAAATTTAAGTCTTTTGGCGGGATCGCAAGCCGTGACGTTCCTAAGATATGATCGCACATTGCCTTTCCGCATATTCTTGTACGGGTACTGATGCTTGAGCGCCAGATAGGCATGGAGGCCTACACTGTTGTCGCATGTAACGAAGGAGAGATTGGCTGGGCTTGCTTGTGGGGTTGCTCTTGCAGTATCAGCTCAAGCAAACAGCGCTGCAGCTCAAGACAGGCTGGCACCTCTCCATCCCATCCCCACACCCTTTGGCCGCAATCAGCTCTGTATAGACTTTGACTCTATTGCACCTTCAGACAGTCCTCACCTAAGTGCGAGGACCCAGCTGCACGTAATGGCGTCGCATGGCTCATCGGAGCAAGCCAGGGCACCGAACGCAGATGCCACTCCCACCAGAACAACGGCCGTCAATCTTAGCGGAGGACTTTTGCAGGGTACAATAGAGGCTAAAACCTGCAACAGGGTTTCCGAAGATGGGGCTAACCCCGCACTGGCTGGTATGGGCAGGACCAGGCAGATAAGTTGCATCGTGCGCGTGTACCTAAAAACTCTTGTAATGCATACATTACCACAGCAGATAATTGTTTCTCAATTCCTTGGTCCTCAATAGCCAACCTGCTCTCGAGACGCTCTCGTGTGCCTGGTCGCCCAGCAAAGGGTGAATGAAGTGAAGGGAGCACTCCTGCCTCGCTTGCTGACATGTGTGCTTTATTTCTGCTGCACCCCTGCCTACCCATGCCGCATCTCGTTCTGCGGTGTCTCTGGCTATTGGATCTTTTGCACTAGCTAGTGCATGTAAATTTTTTGCCTTCACTAGGGCTGGATGGCTACCTCAGCAGTTTGGGAAGCAGTAGCAAGTTTGCATAGTGCTGCCGCCAGTTTCTTCAATCCTCGTCGACAGAATTCTATCAACCACGCTGTGACAATTTTCTTTGCGCTCCCGGCTGGAAGATGGCAAAACACTTCACCGTTGCTTCTCTTTCTGCCGCTGTTGCAAGCGCTGCGGACAGCAGCACAAGCTCCCCCGCAATATATCCACTGCTTGCTTCATACACCGCCGCACCTTCTGAAGACCCGGCGACGAGCCCCGCCACTGCTGACGTGTGGCCTCCTGTGCAGCTGCAGCTCCTTCTTGCCGCTTTGATCCCCCCACATGAGCAACAACACCAGCAGCTTTTCCCGCTGCGTCCTGTTCCGGTTGCTGTTGGTGCTGTTTGTGGTGACCTTGTTGCTGTTGAATCTGTTTTTGCTTATCTGGTTTGCTCTGGTCCTGATGCTGCTGTTGCACCTGCTGTTGCAGGATGTGCCGTTCCTACTACTCCCGTTTTCTCTCATCACTATGCCCCCGCAGTATCTTTAATACACAGCAGTACAAAATCGCCGCAGCACTCAATAGCCCCTGAATTAATAAGGCTGGTGAGTGAAGTGAAGACGGCGACCGTCATAGCAGCTGAGGCTGCTGCATATATGCTGTAGTGACCGACCTGGCTGCAGCTGCTGCAGCTGATGCCAAGCGAAAAAAACGCCTACTGCCCCCAGCCGTCCGTCGGGACATGCCAAAATCCCAACTGGATCGAATCCGCCAAACCCGAGGTCTTCGGAAGACCACGATGGAGCGCATGTATTGCTGCATGGTTCTCTGCAGCGCCTCTGCGTATGAGCCTCCTCATGCGCTCCTCCGGCAGTCAATGATTCCACTCCTGGTGAGCTGGTCCACCCCCCATATTACGACAATATCTGAGCAATATCTGATTTGAGTCCCCATTTGACTCAAACAATTTACTGAGTGTCTTTTTCTTTTATCACTTGCCAGCCAAGAGCAGTCGTAGGTGCTGTGCCAATGAATGTATGGGTTGGTTGCACCCTCGCGCGGTCGCTTCTGATGCCAGGTCGGCTTCGCAGCCTATGTCATGTAGAATTAACCACTCCTGACTATTGATACGAGTTTGGATAGGCACCGAGTTGTGTCGACGGGTACATGCTGGCCTCACCTCTTTTCGCCCGCTCACTGCTCCACACGTTGCGTTTGGGCCAGGGCGTTTCCATGTAGCTTTGATTGTTTCTCTGGAGGCTTTGCTTGATGTTTTCCTCTTCTAGCCCTTTTCGTGCACCTGTGACCTTTTTGTTGCGCGGCAAGCAGCTGCGCTGCTCGGTACGTTCTCTCGCCTTCCTGAGTTGAGGGTTCGCCCACTGCCTTCTGGTGTCGCTTGTAGGCTTTTTCTTTTGCGGAAGTGGTATTCTCATACTCAATTTCCATTAGCCGTGTAGCTTGTTCGTTCCCAAGCCCGATCTATTCCTGCTCAACAAAGGAGGTGGAAATAGCGTGTTCCCTCTCTCTTAAACATTAGCTTTATCATCTCAGTTCTGCAGCCCAGCCAACTACCGACTATATCCTTCCGGCCCTGCAACAAGTCGTTAAGAAGGTCCGAGCCAACCGTTTGAATCTCTGCAATCCTTTTCTCCTTACTCTACTGCCCACCCGATTGCTTACAGCGAGCTCCATTGCTCCGGTCCTGAGTTCCTTCTCCTCGGCACAGTCGGCCACCGACTGCCTCTCTCAAAGGAACAACCCCTCTTGAGCAGCTAAAGAGCTGCGACCTTACCGCTTGGCTTCTGTTTACCAAGGAATCACACTTCTCATACTTAACGACGTACACCGTATGTATTCGTCGGTCTAGCTTTTCTCAGTTTTGCCAGTGCCTGCTGCCTCGCCGATCTAGGGATAAACCTACATTACCATGCATGCCAGAAAGCTTCCATGGTCCCTATGCTCTCTAGGGAGGTGGCACTCTTAAATTGATATTGCTACTAAAGGCGTGTCTCTTCTTCTAGTAAACAGTTGGCGCCAGTAACCCTTTTTGGGTACATTTTCGGAAGTACACACCCAGAGAAGCACGGGATTCCTCCACTTTCACCGCACTGCGGTGCAGCTTGGGCTTGCCACTCTGAACTATGCTGCCTTAAAAGTGTAACGAGAGTCCTCATTTAGCCAGTGAACCGACGTGAGGTGCAATGGATCCAAAAGACTTGAGACAATTGTCCCCTACACTCCGCAAGCAACCTAAGCACAGCGGCACAGAAGCCGAAGCTACTGAAGAGAGGAGCAGGGCAGCTCCGAGTTGCACCGCACTTTGTTGCAGCTCCTGCTGCATGGCCTCCCCCCATGAAACAGTGATCAGGGCACCTGCTGATAAATGCATCAACACTTGAGACATTTGCTGCAGTTGCGCCTATGCCGATGCCTGGAGACTGAAGGTTACGTCATCTACATTGTGTGGATCCTCTATATCCCAACACTGTCCTCGTCTTATATCGAGGACAGTCGCCATACGCACAAACTTGAGACAGAACGTACGCCTACCCTATTCTATACGCAATGGATATATACACAGAGCTTACGGGAGAAAACTGCTACGGACAGTTATGACAAGGGAAATTTCAAATGAGGTATCCTAAAGACTCAGCAACCAAGACCTTCGGGAGATACGCGGTAAGGCATAAACCACCTTTAGGAGATGCTAGAAATCCTGTTGTATGCGGTGGACAAGAGGAGAGCATGCAATGCAGTTAATATGTCCGAGCCTCAGTTGCTTTCAAAGGTTTTCTTTAAAGTTACAATAAAAAATGATTGAGAAGATATTCACCTTTGGTCTTCTGGTGAATGCTCACAAACTGGTGTCGTACGAGCAAACGAGCATGGGGCCGGGAGTGGAACGATGAAGCGGCAAATGCTTTGGAGGCAGAATCTACGAGCAATTAAGACGTCAAAGTATTACTTTTACAGTCTGTTTGTGTTAAATTGTTTTATAGCCTCCCTTGTTCCCTCACTTTACCTTTATTTTGTATCCGAATCAACGGAGGGGTTCATCAGGGCCTTGTGAATTCTCTCTGTGCGGAGGCCTCAGCCTCAGCCTCAAGACAATTGTAATTTGTTGATTTTGATTTGAAGGATTTAACGTTGATGACCTTATTTGAAACTGCCCTCAAAGCATCGTCTGCCCAGCAACATTGCGTGGTGGCGTGGGCAGCCTTTTGTTAGGATGAACATCTCGAGTTCTTCATCATTCGGTCTTTTCAGCTAGTTTACCTTCACTGGCCCCTTTCTAGTCTTTCACGGGACCCAAATGGGTCATTGTAAGAGGAAGAAGAAGATACAATCGCTCCTGCGTGCTCTGTTCTGGCCCCCCGCCCCGATGCTGCAACACAAGCAGTACGCTTAGTATCCACAACAACAACAAAAGCAGCAGCAGCCACACAGACACCTCAGAATATGGGTAAGGCAAGCGACACTAATACATCTTCTACGAAGATGGATGCGGCAGTGGATCCTGCACAGTGGAAGGAAGCCCAGCTTACTGCGCCGGCTAACGATGCCCCTCTGCCTGGGGAGCAGCAGCTGCGGCATCACCTGAAGCATCAAAATAGTCGGTTACTGTCATGGAAGAAGGCCGCTTGGGTCGTCGTATTTGTTTTGTGCACTGCTGCCACGATTCGTCATTTTAGCTCTCCTAGGAAAACTCCCCTTATGTCTTCAGACAAACCCCGCAAGGGGTCTGAGGCAAAAATCGGTGTTGATTTACCTCCTGAGAGTGGAGATCGGCAGAAGCTGGAGGAGCAGAAGCAGGAACAGCAGGAGCAGATGCAACTGGGGGAGCAGGATCTGGACCGGAACGAGCAGCCGCAGGGGCACGACCAGCGCATGCGCAACGAGCAGGATCAAAGCGAAGACGATAGCGAGGAGGAAGAGCAGGGGGAGTACCAGCAAGGCGAGGGGGATGAAGATCAGGAGCTAGATGAGGCGTATCAGGGTGTAGAGGGCAAGGGCAAGCAGAAGAAGCGTAAGAAAGAGGAACAGGAGCACAAGCAGCTGGAAGAGCAGCAGCAGGATCAGGACGAGGATTCGCAGGAAGAGGAGGAAGACGAGGAGTGGGGGGAGGACGAACAGGAGCAGGATGAGTGGCTGAATGGAGGCTCGATAAAGCGCGGAGGGAAGGGGGATCCCAAGGATAAAGAGGAAGGATCAAATATGCGTGGGGCAGGGAAGGGGCGTCGTAAAAAGGGACCACGTAGCGATGATGAAACGCAAGAGAAGCAGGAAACGACTAGTGGCGATAACCCAATGGAAGAGGGACCTGGAGAGGAGGATGGGATGTCGGATGCAGAGAAGGAAGACAGTTATCAGCAAGAAGAGGACGAAGAAACTGCGACTGAGGGAGACGCAGAAGAGAGCGATGATCTAGAAGTTGATGGTATGGACGATGACGATGATTCTGGTGATGAAAAGGGGGAAGATGCTGGTAAAAGCAGCAGCGGCCAGCAGATCCAAGCCCTGGGACCGGAGGACTCTATACTGGAGCATTTGACACCTGTCTTTGTGTCCGCAAGGCCGTCTGATGGCACGCAGTGTGCGAAGGATAAGATCGTCACTGAAGCAGCAGAGGCGGTGCATATGCTTGAGGAGGAGGCGGGAAAGGAGGCTGCAGATGCCTTCATAAAGCTGCTGACGCAGAAAGTCCCCACGGAAGATCCCACGCAACTGTCCAGCGATGTGTTGAAGTCTGTTTTGGTTGAAAGAGCGAAGCAAAAAGCAGCTGTTTCAGCTCTGAGGGCTTTCCAAGCTCGCCGCTCACGAGAGGAAGCTCTCGCCCGTGTGATGCTTCAAGAGCAGATGCTCCGTGGGATTAAGGACCATGTAGAGAAGGGGTTGCCGCTTCCCACTTTGTTTACAGAGATGCTGGGGAATATTGAATGCCCTTTAGACTTGAAGAAAGAAACCGCAGTCTTCGAGGCCGCACAACGACAGTACGAGGAGTCGTTAGCAACGGAGAGCGGAGCGCTGCAGGTGCTGATGTTCGATATGATGGATGTTGGGGCGCATTTCCTCTCTGCAGATATCTTCGTGCGGGCAGCAAACATCCCCGCAGAGTGGAAGACGAAGCTTCCCAAATATGGAGACTTGGCGACCGCTCTCACTGATATTCGTGGTATCGCTCAGCCCAATAATATGATTCATGTGCCTGGCATGGCATCCACGATGGTGGAGGCGACGAAGGCAACTCTGGGCGACAAAAACTCAGCAGTACATCGCGTAGGAAGGCTTTTACAACTCGTTGAAACCCGTAAGAGAGCCCATTCCGGCTTCAAACTATGCGCCGACCCCCAACTGGACAACTCAACCGAAAAAATGGCTCTAGGCGCCCGAAGAAGAGCATTTGAACT